CTGGATGCTTGTTCTTGGGTGATTGTGGCTGTGGAACTCCAAGATGAAAGATGCTTACATAGAAGCTGTGTTACTAGGTTACATTACACATGCAGTCATTTATTTGGCTCTCATATCCATGTCTTTGTTTTTGTTATCCTGTTTGGGGCAGAGAATGGAGATATCAATGCTAAACTTCTTTGGCTAGGAGGACTAGGAGTGGAATTGCACCTGTGCTGAGGATATAAGCAAAAGTTTCTTCCCTCTCCTCCTAATGTTTGCAGGTTCACAGTGATTTATCCTGTCCTCTTTTACCCTGCATCTCTACAAGCATGCTCTGTTCTCAGTTCCACCAGTAAAAGTGTATTACTCTATCAGTATCTTCTAACTAAACTCTCATATATCGTAGATCTCATACTTAATGCCATAGCTACATTTTTGTCCTCATTGTGTTGTAGGAACCTACATAATTTCATGTATGTCACTTCTGAAGTGAATTAAGCAAAATATAACAAGCTCTCTTGTCTATACATAAATTTTCCATGGCAAACAAATTGTGGGGTCCCACACTCAGTGCAGTAGTGATGTAAGGACACGGGTAACTTATCCCCCACCCTTTCGAGCATATTTTTCTCAAACATCATAGGAACAATCACATAGGAATACAGGTTATTTTACTTCATAGAAAGATACAACTTGGCCTTAAAAATCCTAGCATCACAGGGAGATGGAGCAGCTCAATGATGGGTGTGTGTTGTTGTGGCTGAGATATATGCTGGACTGATTCTGAGTGAGGAGGGAGAGCAAGGACTCTTTAGCATGTTTACAAGGGAGCCTGACACACAATCTTGGGTCCGGCCTATTCAGAAAACCTGAATCCACCTACTTTGAGATTTGGCTTTACAAAGGTCGTAAAGACAGACTACTTGCTCAGATGACAGAAATGCTTAGGCCTGGATTTACATATATCTCATTTTGTGTGTTTTCCTTTAAAAATCCTAATTCTAATACCATAGTTATATAAAACTAGTAGCTTTAATTAATAGATAACAATATATACATACATTTTTACTGATTGTGGATTTGAAATAAAGCTGCCAAGTAGGATCTATAAAGGCTCAGAAACTAAAGATAAAAATGAAAAAATCCTGATGATTGGAAGCCAGTCTCATGATTTGGTCAGCTGAACTGAAATTTGTGGAAGCCTGGGGTGGCAATGATTCGGAGATCAGATTCTGTGTGAGCTGGTTGCCAAACAAGTCACTGTTATTTTGAAGACCTGCCATTTAAAAATGAATTAAGATTTAAAATGCTTTCTGGAGATTTTCACTGGACTTCATACAGTATCATAGTCTGCTGTATCAAGTGGCTGTTCAATGCATTGCTCTTAAACTTAAGAAACCCTCATAAGCAGAATAGAGAAAAGGACATACAAGACAAATTGTTCTGTTTCTTTTCCCCCCTCACCTGTTAAAACAGAGGAGAAAGGAAAGGTGAGCCAAATTTTGTAGTCTTTATGCAGGGAAATTACCATAAGCTTCAGTGAGAAGTACAGAACTAGGCTATAGTTTAAGTTAATATTTATTTATTCATAGAAGTTAATATCAGATATTTAAAAACTACAGTCACAGGGTTTTGCAAAAGTGGTCAGGGGGCAAAGACGTGCCTGTAAGTCAGTGGGCTTCTGGCAAATTCCTGCATATTCCAGCTTTCACGGTTTGTAAATCCTTACTTTGTTGGCACATATTTGCTTGAACATGACTTTAGAAACGCAGCCAGTGCTGCTTGAATATGCCCATAGTGCAGGCATAAACTGTGCAGCCCTTAAAACCTGTTCTGCTGTGGGACAGATAAACATGAAAGGTCTTAGTGTTCTGCAAATGAATCAGCCTTAGCTCATCAGCGAGTGCCTTGATTTAATGAAGCCATAGTATGTTAATGTTAACACTGCAAAAAAGCAGTAGTGTTACAGGCATCCATGCTAACTAGCTACAAGCATTTAAAAGCCCAGGCATGAACTCTTACTTGGCTATCTGGCCATAATTAATGATGACAAGTATGTTGGAAAAATAATTATTTTGCTTGCTTTTAAAGACAATTACTTGCTCAAGGCAAGTGAGGGGGTGGGATTTATGTGGCTGTAATAAGCATATGGAGATGGCATCTTCCCAGGAGAATATTGTAGCCACAGGATTTTTTTAACTGACCTGAAATTCCTTTGTTCTATAGATACAATTCATGTATGTGGTCACAGACTAAATGACCCTGCTTGTATTAGGGCAGGCTGCATTTTAAGCTGCTGAAAGGAGAAAAAGCAGCTTTTATCAGCCTAATCAGCAACAGACAGAAATTTCTCCCTCATCATTTGTGGCTGTACAGGCAAGGAGAAGTCTTTATAAATGGTCACCCTGAGAGCTTACTTCTTCCATCTGGTAAAACAAAAGCAGGTAATACGAAGGCTCAGCCCAGCCTGCCTAACAGCAGTCAACTGGTATCCCTCCTGGTAAGGACTCACAGAGCATGACAGCTTTTGCCCAGTGAGGACTGTGCCATCCCCTGGCAAGCACCATGTTGGGCTGCAAAGCCATGCCTCTTCCAGCCCCAGACTTGGTCTTGGAGGCTGAAGAGGAAACTGCTTCTCCATTGCTTGCTGCTATGGTACTGAGTACTGAAGGGCATCTGCTGCATCCTTAGATCCTCCTGCTGCTCCACCAGTCACTGGTGCCTCTTGCATTTAAGGGATATGAGAGCCATGTGATCTTACTACGTAACTGTATCATGACAGTAAGAGTATTGCTGCTTTGTTCTCTTTGAGTTTCATGCTAACTTTGCCCAAGTTGGAAATTACAGCAGAAAGTCCCCCAAGACTGTAACTTGGATAAAAATTCCAACATGTGGCCACAGCTACCTGCTTTAACAAAAAGCCACAGGTTTTGTGCCTGTAGTGTATCACTTCACTGTATCACTCAGATGGTGACATCTTCAGAGGCCACAGAAGAGAGAAAGGGAACCAAAATCCCTATGTGTTGCTCACTTACGTACGTTCAGAAGAATGCCCTTTATCTTATTCCCTTTTTATCTCTTGATAGTACAGAAGATTACGATCCCTTTCTCTGATTCCCATCTTGCAAAATGGGGAAGATTATGATGACTTTCTTAGTAAGTCAGTTTGAAACCTAAAACTGAAACTTGTTACAGAAAATGTAGTGTTAAGAGTCTTAGGTGCTTTTCTCTGCTCTGGCTGGCTCATTGCTAACAGCAAAGATTGCATGCTGTGTGCATTCTGCCATCAGTGTCAGTTTGTGTTTTTGAGTGTTGACATGTAACAAAAAAATATTTAAATTTCTTGTAGTCCCAGTTATATCTAGTCCTTTCTGAAAGTGTTACTATAGGAAGCAGACTGAAAGCTGAGTGAATGATGCATTTAAGAATTTGGATCCAGTTCAGTCTGTTCTTGATGTCTGCAGATTTTTGTCTGGGTATAAATTCTCATCTGATCTCTCTCTGTTCTAGTTGCTCATTAGAGAAAGTTGTGCCAGGGCAACAGAAAAATACCAGAGGGAAAAGACTAAACAGTTCCCCCATTATAAAGATGCAAGATCCTGGAGTCTCTCAAAGTGATCTGTGTCAACAAGAGGTGGTGAGTGGAGTAGAGCCTGTACTTCATTGCCTTGGATTAGAGAGAGAAATGTTGGTTTAAGTCCAAAGTTCTCTCTGGAAATTACAAGGAGAGCAACCTCTGCTTTTAGCTCCAAGGACAGGGTTGGAAATGAGGCAGAACATAGAGGTACTGGAGCTGAAAGCAGTAGGATTTTGTGCAAGGTCATTAAACGGCCAGTTTTCTCTGCAGCTGGAAGGGATTACTGCATTAGTCTAAATTTGACCCTGGCAGAGAAGAGAATTCCCTTGGGGTGCTGTGGTTTTACTGTGTTTTTTGTTTTCATTTACTGCAAGCAGAAAGGCACATTTACTTCTGCAAAGTCTTCAGCCTATCAGTGTCTGGGGAACATGTTGGTTGGCAAAGGGGAAGCTGAGGGAGAAAGGGGACATTCTGTGGGCTCTATTGACTTAATGTCCTTTCCCATGTACCAAACAATGACAGTGGAGGGAAGTGGCGAGTGGGTGAGGGATGAACTCTATGAGGATAACACTGAGTTTCCCCTTCAAGATAACTAGGTTCTAGTATAAATCTTTTTGGTTTGGGTCTTTTGGAAGGAATGAGTAGTAGCAGAAAGTCCCCCCAGATATTTCCATGGAAAAAATTGAATGACATAATTGTGTTAGATAAGAAAGCAAATTTTGAGTTGTATTTTTTTCTTTGATGACATAAGATATTAGGATCAGGCATTATTTCCAGATTAAATATAATGTAGACTAAGTTCAGTAAACCAATTCCTTCCCTACTTACACAGTGGCTTACACAGGACAGTAACTGGCTTGCCCACACCCCCTTCCCCACCCAAGACCCATCCTAGGTCCAGCCCCAGCCTGCAATGGTTTACAGGCAGCAGTCATCCATAACTGATGTGGCAAGGGAGCTTGGTTTGGTATGATGGTGCAAATGATGCAGTAACAATGACATGTATCTAGCACGGCAGGATTTATGAATGCTGAGCTATGATAGAGTTTTTCAGATTGCTTGCTGAATGAATTTGCCTTCAGTATAGAGGAAACTTGGCTTTCCTAAATGAAATATTAATGCACTGACAACAGGCTATTCAAGATAGCTCTGCTACCAGCTGTCTGTGTTGTGCAGTGCAGCCTTAGTTTCTACAGATTTCATTATAGAGTTATGTGTTCTTATATATTATACTAATAATACTAGTTCCATTCAGATTATTTGATTTGCTAATCTAGAAGGCTGACTTCAAATCCATTCATACAAGAGATTATAAATGTTATCTCTATGAGGCAACTGGTTTTCTTACACCTCAGTGCAGTGATGACTTGATAGTTTCCCGAAGACTGGGAGCAGTAAAAGCCAAGAGCTGAAACATTCATGGAAACTCAGATGTTTTGCTTTTACATATTTTTCCATGACAAGTGCCTGGGACTTTAGGAGAGGGAGTCTCATCTTCTGGTTGTTACACCCAAGCTGACTTGAAACACTGAGAAACTGTGCCAGGCAGTAGCTGCAGTTGAGTGAAGTTTAGATGGATGACTGGGAGGAGCACTGGCATGAGTAAATGTCATTGCCTTTAAGTGTCCTTGCAATTAGAAAGAATATGAAGTCAGCATTAAGGTGCTTTAAGTTCTTCAGGAAAGCAACAGAAACAACGAGACTGAATTTCCAGATTGGGTCATCCCAGCTGAATAGAAGCAGGAGATATTTTTGTAGTCTTTGGTCTTTCAAGGTAGTATGGCAATGTGAGGGAAAATAACCAGCTGTAATCATGAAGTGCAAAGCAGAGAGGTTAAGCACTTGTTCTTATCACCCACTGCCCAATGACCTCAAACATTTTTACAAATGCAAACAGGACAGCATTGTCAGCCACCCTTGAAAGGCAGGGAAACTGAGGCATAGAGTAGTAGGATTACTACCTGGACTGAAAAGCTCCTGATGATTTAACTGCTTAGCAAGGCTTCTAATGTGTAAGGACAATATCAGGGGATAACCCACTAACATGACATGAGAGATGAGTTTTATAGCAGTTCATTTTTCATTCTGGGCAAGAATTAGTTAATAGAAGCAAGTTTTTATGTTATCCAAACCGTATGGGTTTTTTCCCTTTTTTCCCTTCTCAACATATTGTTGCTTGCTGTAGCAGCTGAGTAATGCAGAAGTTCTGCCTGAAAATAATGCTTCCTCCTTATATGATATTGCACATATTGTCATGGAAATTGTCCTCATTTCCCCCGAGCACACTTTAAATAACTCGAACAGCAGTGCTAATGAGCAGAAAGATATCTGCAATCCCCACCGTGCAACTTGACATACTTTATCCCACTCTGAATTTCCCTTGCTCATCATTGAACATTTTAAAGATCTGGTACAATAGTTTGCTTTCTCTCTTTGGTCCAGTCATTCTGCTCTTAGCACTTGGTAATAAAAGGTCAGCTTTGGCTGAAACCTCAGTGTTGCAGCCATGCCGTTTTTTACTGCCAAATACCTTAAGAAAAGCAAGTGTCTCCGAAAGGGTAAGTCATATTTTTGGTGTATTTGTTGTCTGTTTTGCTTTAAATTTCAGTAAAGGATTTATTTTGAATTAAGAAGCAGTGGGAATGGATCTATTTATACTGCCAGTCGGTTAGCACAGGGGTTTTATTATGCTGTATGCATTTTTGGTTCAAGATACAGTGTATGTTATTATCTTTCATTTTACATTCACTAAAGCCAACTAAGCGAGAGATTGCTTAACCCTTTAAACATGAAGCATATGCTCTGCTTGAGGATGGAATATCTAATGCAAAGCCAAACAGGAACAGAATCTGTGTGTATTTGTGTTTCCAGATTAGTTATGCAGGCAGCTGGATAATGCTCCAGTATTTGTGTTTTTATTGACAGAAAGATTTTTTTTTTTCATCTGCACTGAAATAATAACTTTAATAACACCAAATGAAGGAAGTGCTTTCTTCCTCCTGGCATCTTTTGTTTGCAGGGTTACCTGAGTGCATGATTTCACGTAGATTTTTAGCTTGCTTTTGTAATGTTTGCTGTGTGGGCTTTTCCAGGAAAGGTGATTGTTCTACTTCCAGGTAGATACAAAACTGAGAGCAGTTTGCTTGTAGCGCTATAAAAATTAACGATGTGATTTACTCCTAATAGAGAAACACTTTCCTTGTATTTTTCTTGTTCTGTTGCTTGTCTCTTTATTATGACATTTTTCTAGTGAGCAGTCCAAATAAGGGCTCTGTATAAAGGAAAAGGGACTCCTTGTAGCTGAGACGTATCGATCAAGGGGATCTGAGAGATCTGACTTGCTTATCTGGAGAAGCATTTATATTGTGCATTTTCCTTAGAAATCATTTCTGAGGCATAGCTAGGAGGTTGAAGTGCAGGTTTTCATTTCAGGTTTTAAGCTGAAGAAAAGGTTTTACAGGAAAGAGGTTTATTATCTTTGTACCAACCTTTGTTTTTCCCAAAGGATTCTTATTAAAAATGGTATTACATGGGAAGTGGTAACAGCTAGGATATGAGAATTGAGTTTAACTGGCTTGTAGTCACTGGCACCAACTTTCAATATTTTTATTGAGCAAAATAAATGTATGTGTACACAGATTTACACAATCATCAGGATTTTTTAAGGATATACCCATACCGACAAAGTTTTTATTAGAAAGATGGATACAAAAAATGTCTTCATTTTTTTTTTTTTTTTAGTTTTGTTGTATGCATACACGTATAGGACAATTCTTCAAGGAGGCATAGGACAGTTTTTGCTCCCTCTGTTTTCTCTTCTGCTTCAGGCACTTGACTGAGTGTTGCTTCTTTCCCTTACTGCATGTGTCATGACAGCAGTGTCTCTGTAGATAGATCATGACTGAGAGGTGTCTGCCCCACTTGTGTATGAAGCAGGCATTGTAGGAGGGGGCTGTTATATGGCCAGAAAAGGTAATGTTATTCTGTTAGATGCAACTGGAAGATAATTATTTAGCTCTGATGCCTCTTATGATGAGGTGTGTGCATCCTACTGAATGCTGTCTATTGGCTGTAAGCTGTTCCCTGCCCCACTGTGGTAAGAAGCTATGATGTATTAGACACAACAGGGTGTGGAGGCTTGGAGCTAAGCATTAGACATCCAGCATGAGTCAGTGTGACTCTAAAGGTTGCACTTGGAATCTGGGGAGCAGTTGCTCACTGCTTGATCCTTTGCCTAGAGAGGTGCTATTCGCTGCTGCTTTGCTGCAGGGATTTGGTATTCTTGGAAGATGTTGCTGTGTGACAGGGCTCAGCCCTGTGAACCAGCAGGTGGGGGTTATAAGCTGTGGCTATAAGTCTGGCCTCGGTGGGACTACATCTGCTTGGAGCCATTGTCAGTATCACAGTGCAACTGCTGCAATCTGCCTAGCCCTATGGCTCATCCTCAGGAGAATGACTTGTGTGTGCAGAGAAGAAGGGAGGAACAGGGAAGAGCAGCTTGGTACCCAGCCTGTGCAAGGAACAGAGGCTAAGAAGTGATCATTTTGAAATCAGAATCAATATGGGCATAAATTGAAATTTTAAAACACTGCTGAGGCAGTCAGCCTAAAGCAAACAGCCATAATCTTAGTGAGTCATTATTGCCAGGAAAATCTTAAGCTAACTCCAAATAGCGCTCCAAATAGATTTTTCCTAAAAACATCATTCTGAACCAGAGGGGATAGAAGGTGTTGCTTCTTAGCCTGCTTCCACCAAAATCTTTTTGATTTGTGAAATTCATCTGGTCCAGGCATGTTGGCATGGTGGATAACCTGCACGGTTCTGATGCCATTCAGCTCTCTGCTAACGTTTTTTTGCCTTGTTTCCAGGACAGCTCGGGAAGAGATGTGCCAAATCATTGAGGCAGAACTGATGTGCTTGGGTAGGGAGTACTGAGCTAGCTGGGTGTATCCATGAGCTGTTTAGCATCTATCTGTTACCCATGTTGCTTTAAACAGATTGGGCTCCTGACAGTTTTTGAGGCACTTCCCATTCAGTTTCTTCAGGCAATCCCCTGTAACTCCCTTCCAAACAGCACTTCATTTGCAGATTTTTTACTGTGATCTAAGTGGGGAGATTTCCATTCTTCCCAGTAAATAAATATGGTCTTTAAAAAGTCATTAAATGATCAGGGAGCGTCCTTAGGCATAGCATCAGAAGTACAGTTGCATAAAAGCTGTAGTAGCCACAGGCTCCACTGGGTCTGTTCTTGCTTGCTGTTCCCTGTGCTTGTGAGCAAAAGAGCAAACGAGCAAGAGCAGTGATATGTGTGTGATCACTTTTCCACAGGTTCAGACGGCCTAGGGACTGGAGCTGGGCTGTGAACGAGGTTTTGGCCAGGAATATCGGTTGTGTGGGAATCAGTCTTAATAAGGAAACTCTTCCAGATCGATACAGACAGTGGCCAGCAGAGCTGGGAACTAGAGCATGATTCCCCAAAACTTTGTTACCTGGTATCCCAGGCAGTGCAGGGTTTCTTCTCTTAGACTTTTGGACAAGGTTAGCTCTACGTTATCTGAAGATTGTTTCTCCTCAGGTGACCTTTATTCTCACTGTGCTCCATTTTTTCTCTTCATTAGCAGGACAGGCTAGGAAGTTTTTTGGATTACTTCTCTGCTTTTTTTTTTTTTTTTTTTTTTTATGAGGAAGTTGAGTGCTTTCAGATACCTGTGAAATAGCACAGGTAAGCCAAAGCACAGCTTTCTCTCATGTTTTGCTTTGTAAACTGTGCTATTCCTATGAAGATTTCCCACACGTCTCATTTGGTGATGCATCCTCAACCTACTGTAAAACTACAGTAATGACAGGCTCTGGAAAGACACAAGTAACAACTCACTTGTTTCCCCTATTGCCAGTATTTAGCAACATCAAACTCCTAACAGTTACACCCCCACCCACACTAAACAAGACATCAAAACAATGAAAAACATTTATCACCGCCTGCAGCCTGTTGTTAAAACTGTTCTCTCCTAAGCCCTCCTACATTAACATTTCTCTCTGTCTTTGGCTGTTCACTGAGCACTGGCTCACAACCCCTCTAAATTGGAGTGTAAAATATCATACGGTCAGAATTGTCTCTGATCTGGTGAGTCACTGTTGATTTTCTCTTACTCTTGATTTCTAATGGAGAAAAAGAAGTTTCAGTTCTGGCAAAGCCTTTTCCTCTTTAATTCAAAAATAATAATATTGCATGTTTTATTGCCAACTGGTCCTTACTTTACTGCAGCTGTAGATTTACAAGACTTCAAAGCTGGATGATTAAGACAGTTTTTACTTGTAGCCAGGCAAGCCAGAAAATCTCAACTTCAAAGGAGGGGGTGTTCTTTAATGTTGTGGGCTTCCTCTTTGTGCTTAGAAAATGAGGTTGCTAGGGACGATGCCACATGCAGCAAACAGGCCACATAGCTGCTGCTCTTGGAGGAACTGTTGGCTGCTGCCTGGGAAGAACAGAGCACACCCAGCAACATCAGGGTGTTTGGCTGCTGCTTGGGTCTCTCTGTGTGATAACGAGCTATAGGACTTAAATGTATTCTGTTGCTATGCTCAGTGCTTCTCTCTTAGAAGGCCCCTGGGGGTGACGACAAGTGAAATTTGGGCTTGAGCTCTGTTGCATCACCTATTCCCTGTGCTGGATTGTCTTCCTCCTCTGATGTGCTTGCAGTGTGGATGATTTTATGGGCGTTAGGAAGAGGCAATCTCAGTGAAAATAAGTGTTCAAACCCTACAGCATTGCGATTTGAGGGGAGTAGGGACTGGAAGTAAAGGTGCTTTACATCCAACAATCGTGTGAGATGGAGCCCCTGTGTTAGTACTTCATCTGGTCAGCCATGTGTCACCAGTTCAACCTAGTAGGGCTGAGGGAAGAGCAACTTAGTAGCTCCATCTTTAGAGGGACATAGGGATTGTGGTGCAGCTTTATTTCCTACTCTGCAGCTCAGACAGTATAACATGACCCTTTCTGTTTTATTAAGTTCCTTCTCCATATATATGGTGGTTACTCTAGCAAAGAAAACGGAACAAGAGCCTCATGATGAGGCAGAAAGTGGGCCTGGATAACTGTTATTTCTTGAACCATGCAGGGTATAGTTTTCCAGGAATATTTCACCAAGAAATTAGACTTAAAATCCCTACAAATACATTCCTTCCATACTCTGGCAATGTAGCGAGGTGCAAACACATTGTGACGATGTGCCTGGAATCAAGGCATATTTTGGTTGAAGGTGGTGCAGTGTGGATCATGTGTTGAGTGACTCTAGGAAGCAGAGTGCAGAGTTCCATGGTCCTGTGGGTGCTAAAGGGACCGGCAGGGCCCCTGAGCGTCATGGCTGTCATTCAGCAAAAAACTTGCAGAGTCATGTGGCTCTGGTGCAAGCATCCCTCATCAGTATTAAAATCTGAGTGAAACTGGGGCTTTATCCAACCAGTATCTAGGCATCTATGGGATCTAGGCCATGCTCTCTCCAGGGCTCTGGGGCTCACCAGCCAAAGAGGCTGCCAAGAAGTGCAGTGCTTAAGAGGC